CTGTGAACAGGGCACATAGAGAACAAGTGTTTTCGTTTTGCCCTTGCAGACTGTGTGCAGAAAAACTGACGTCTCTGCACCATGGTGTGAACGAGGCCTTAACCGCCTCCCATATAGTGCAATGACGGGCGCAAGGCGGTTCTCTAGTTCTGGGAGGACGTCATATGACATCCTCCCATTCTAACAGCGCATGCGTGGCTCCGGGAGCGTCTCTCGGACACAGCGGATCACCGATCAACGGAAAGAGCCGAAGATGTCGGCTCGGTCATGTGATCAGCTGTGTCGAATCACAGCTGATCGCATGTAAATAGGGAAATGCCGGTTATCTGCATTTCTCTCCTCTCGAGCGGTCACGCTGACAGAGGAGAGGAGAGCCGGTAATCGGCATTCCTCGGAGGGGACATGTACACTGATCATCAGGGCACTGATGATCAGTGTGCCCTGATGATCAGTGTAGCCCCTGCAGTGCCACCTGTCAGTGTCCATCAGTGCCACATATCAGTGCTCATCCATGCCACCTGCCAGTGCCCATCAGTGCCATATCAGTGCCCATCTGAGCTGCTTTTCAGTGCCACCTATCAATGCCAGTCAGTGCTGCCAATCAGTGCCACCTATCAATGCCAATCAGTGCCAGTCAGTGCCGCCTATCAGTGGTCAGTGCCACCTATCAGTGCCAGTCAATGCCGCCTATCAGTGGCATATATGAGTGCTGCCTTTCCTTTCATTGCCCATCAGTGATGCCTGTCAATGCCCATCAGTGCCACCTACCAGTGCCTCCTCATCAGTGCCACCTATCAGTGTCCATCAGTGCAGCTTATCAGTGCCCATCACTGCAGCCTCATTAGCGCACATCAGTGAAGGAGAAAAAGCACTTATTTACAAAATTTTCTAACAAAAACGAAGAAAAAAAAATTTTTTTTCAAAATTTTCAGTGGTTTTTGGTTTGTTTAAGAAAAAAATAAAAAACCCCGAGGTGATTAAATACAACCAAAATAAAGCTCCATCACAAAAAAAATGATAAAAATTTAATATAGGTACAGTGTTACATGACCGCACAATTATCATTCAAAGTGTGACAGCGCTGAAAGCTGGAAATTGGCCTGGGCAGGAAGGGGGTATATGTGCCCTGTAGGCAGGAAGGAGGTAGAAGTGCCCTGTAGGCAGGAAGGGGGTAGAAGTGCCCTGTAGGCAGGAAGGAGGTAGAAGTGCCCTGTAGGCAGGAAGGGGGTAGAAGTGCCCTGTAGGCAGGAAGGGGGTAGAAGTGCCCTGTAGGCAGGAAGGGGGTATATGTGCCCTGTAGGCAGGAAGGGGGTAGAAGTGCCCTGTAGGCAGGAAGGGGGTAGAAGTGCCCTGTAGGCAGGAAGGGGGTAGAAGTGCCCTGTAGGCAGGAAGGGGGTATATGTGCCCTGTAGGCAGGAAGGGGGTAGAAGTGTCCTGTAGGCAGTGGAAGGCAGGGGTAGAAGTGCCCTGTAGGCAGGAAGGGGGTAGAAGTGCCCTGTAGGCAGGAAGGGGGTAGAAGTGCCCTGTAGGCAGGAAGGGGGGTAGAAGTGCCCTGTAGGCAGGAAGGGGGTATAAGTGCCCTGTAGGCAGGAAGGGGTAGAAGTGCCCTGTATGCAGGAAGGGGGTAGAAGTGCCCGGTAGGCAGGAAGGAGGTAGAAGTGCCCTGTAGGCAGGAAGGGGGTATATGTGCCCTGTAGGCAGGAAGGAGGTAGAAGTGCCCTGTATGCAGGAAGGGGGTAGAAGTGCCCGGTAGGCAGGAAGGGGTAGAAGTGCCCTGTAGGCAGGAAGGGGGGCAGGAAGGGGGGTAGAAGTGCCCTGTAGGCAGGAAGGGGTAGAAGTGCCCTGTAGGCAGGAAGGGGGGGTAGAAGTGCCCTGTAGGCAGGAAGGGGGTAGAATGTGCCCTGTAGGCAGGAAGGGGGTAGAAGTGCCCTGTAGGCAGGAAGGGGGTAGAAGTGCCCTGTAGGCAGGAAGGGGGTATATGTGCCCTGTAGGCAGGAAGGGGGTAGAAGTGCCCTGTAGGCAGGAAGGAGGTAGAAGTGCCCTGTAGGCAGGAAGGGGGGTAGAAGTGCCCTGTAGGCAGGAAGGGGGTATATGTGCCCTGTAGGCAGGAAGGGGGTAGAAGTGTCCTGTAGGCAGGAAGGAGGTAGAAGTGTCCTGTAGGCAGGAAGGGGGGGTAGAAGTGTGCAGGAAGGGGGTAGGCAGGAAGGGGGGTAGAAGTGCCCGGTAGGCAGGAAGGAGGTAGAAGTGCCCTGTAGGCAGGAAGGGGGTATATGTGCCCTGTAGGCAGGAAGGAGGTAGAAGTGCCCTGTATGCAGGAAGGGGGTAGAAGTGCCCGGTAGGCAGGAAGGAGGTAGAAGTGCCCTGTAGGCAGGAAGGGGGTAGAAGTTCCCGGTAGGCAGGAAGGGGGTAGAAGTGCCCGGTAGGCAGGAAGGGGGTAGAAGTGTCCTGTAGGCAGGAAGGGGGTAGAAGTGCCCTGTAGGCAGGAAGGAGGTAGAAGTGCCCTGTAGGCAGGAAGGGGGTAGAAGTGTCCTGTAGGCAGGAAGGGGGTAGAAGTGCCCTGTAGGCAGGAAGGGGGTATACGTGCCCTGTAGGCAGGAAGGGGGTAGAAGTGCCCTGTAGGCAGGAAGGGGGTAGAAGTGCCCTGTAGGCAGGAAGGGGGTATACGTGCCCTGTAGGCGAGGGATTAAAGATGATCTTTGTCAGTATTCCTCACCGATTCCTTTCAAACCCTCCACATGCAGCGGCATCATATGGACCTGCAAAGGAGGAGACACCTGCAAGCAAACGCATATATTCGGGATAATCACCGTGAACATTGTGTCCTGCAGCTCTGCCCTCAGTCTGTGTATTAACATCAGATGTTCCCGTTCTGTACTCTCTGCTCTTACAAGCTGGTCTTCTAGCTCCTCTCTGTGATGCTGGTCCCATGACGCTCGGGTGGGATCTTTTTTCGGCACATAAAGAGATCCTTCTCTAAGGTTATCAAACTGCAGAAAAACCACAAGATCTGAGCAATGGACAGACATTAATACACACAAGAAGATCTTTCTAGCAAAAAACTACAGATTTTTACTTGCAAACAAAAAGTGTCAGCCTAGGCCTGGTGGCCTGGTATCCTTCATTGGATAACCTCAGCTCACAGGGGGTCCTTACCTCTGCCTGCAGCTCCCGCTGGCGCACTCTCAAGGCATAGTTCTCCCCTTCCAGCTGAGACAGGCGCAGGTTGCATTCAGACAGCTGAAAATAGAACATGAAGACTGATGTAAAGAGAACCTGTTGTCGCATTACCCCTATAAGAGATACACACTTGTATGTGCGGTGAAAGTGTGACTTACAAGTGTTAGGATGATACGTATATTTTGACAATTTAGGGTGTACATCCTTATAGCCTGTAGCCATTCCAGGATGTGTTGTTGATATCGTGGTCTGTCCCATTCTGCTCTACTCTTTAGTGAGATTTGTTTCACTAGACTCAGTGGGGAGATTTACTAAAACAGGACAGTGCAGAATCTGGTGCAGCTTAGAAGCCGTGCATGGCAGCCAATTAGCTTCTAACTTCAGCTTGTTTTAAATGAAGCTTTGAAAATAATACCTGGAAGCTGATTGGTTTCTATGCAGAGCTGCACCGGATTTTTCATGCTTCAGTTTTAGTAAATCTCTCAGGAGAGGGTTTAGCAGTGGTGCTGAAGAGGAAGGAAGACATACCGTATTTTTCACCGTATAAGACGCACTTTTTCTTCCCCAAAACTGGGGGGGAAATGTCAGTGCGTCTTATAAAGCGAATATGGAGCGGCCGGTCCGGTATTTCCACCGCGGCCGTGTCAGAATACCGGGGGCCAGCCACTCAGCTCTGCAGCGGGACCTTACTTGTTCCTCTATCCAGCGGCGTGCTGTCTTCCCGGCTTCTGTAGTGTGGGCACTGGGCATGACAGCCGGGTGCCCAGTGCGCATGCGCGAGAAGCGGTGCGCTTTGTGAATGGTAAGGCGGTACCTGGGACACATGACAGATCCCAGAAGCCGCCGGACCAATCACAAAGCGCAAGTGCTTCTCGCTCATGCGCACTGGGCACCCTGCTGTCATGCCGAGCGCCATTACAGAAGCCGGGAAGACAGCGCGCGGCTGGATCGAGGAACAGGTAAGATCAAAAACTCTGCGGAAGTAAGAGCGGGTACCTGTCAAATTCAGGTACCCCCTCCCCACTTCCCCAAAGGTCAGCAGTCATCTGTATTGTCCGCAGTCTCTGGTCATCCCTGTGCTGTCCGCAGTCTCTGGTTATCCCTGTGCTGTCCGCAGTCTCTGGTCATCCCTGTGCTGTCCGCAGTCTCTGGTCATCCCTGTGCTGTCCATAGTCTCTGGTCATCCCTGTGCTGTCCGTAGTCTCTGGTCATCCCTGTGCTGTCCGCTGTCTCTGGTCATCTCCTGTACTGTGTCTGCAGTCTCTGGTCATCTCCTGTACTGTGTCTGCAGTCTCTGGTCATCCCCTGTACTGTGTCTGCAGTCCATTAGTTCAGAATTTTTTTTCCCCCTGTTTTCTGCCTCTAAAACCTAGGTGCGTCTTATGGGCAGGTGTGTCTTATACGGTGAAAAATACGGTAAATGCTAGAATATATTTTGCCTCCTTCCAGTTTGCCCCATTTACTAGATTACCATATTTTTTGCTCCATGAGACGCACCTAGGTTATAGAGGAGGAAAACAAGAAAAAATATTCTTAACCAATGGACTGCAGACATAGTACAGGAGATGACCAGAGACTGCGGACACAGTACAGGAGATGACCAGAGTCTGCGGACACAGTACAGGAGATGACAGAGACTGCGGACACAGTACAGGAGATGACCGGAGACTGCGGACACAGTACAGGAGATGACCGGAGACTGCGGACACAGTACAGGAGATGACCGGAGACTGCGGACACAGTACAGAAGATGACTGGAGACTGCGGACACAGTACAGGAGATGACCGGAGACTGCGGGACACAGTACAGGAGATGACCAGAGACTGCGGACACAGTACAGGAGATGACCAGAGACTGCGGACACAGTACAGGAGGTGACCAGAGACTGCGGACACAGTACAGGAGAAGACCAGAGACTGCGGACACAGTACAGGAGAAGACCAGAGACTGCAGACATAGTATACAGAGATGACCAGAGACTGCAGACATAGTATAAGAGATAATCAGAGACTGCGGACACAGAGACTGCGGACACAGAGGAGATGATCAGAGACTGCGGACACAGTACAGGAGATGACCAGAGACTGCGGACATAGTACAGGAGATGATCAGAGACTGCAGACATAGTACAGAAGATGACCAGACACTGCAGACATAGTACAGAAGATGACCAGAGACTGCGGACATACTACAGGAGATGACCAGAGACTGCAGACATAGTACAGAAGATGACCAGACACTGCAGACATAGTACAGAAGATGACCAGAGACTGCGGACATACTACAGGAGATGACCAGAGACTGCGGACATACTACAGGAGATGACCAGAGAATGCGGACACAGTACAGGAGATGACCAGAGACTGCGGACATAGTACAGGAGATGACCAGAGACTGCGGACACAGTACAGGAGATGACCAGAGACTTCGGACATATTGCAGATGACCAGAGTCTGCAAACCTTTGGGGAGCGGGGGTGGGGGAAGGGGGGGAGATCCTATGGGGAGGAGGAGGACAACTTCCTCGCCTAGCGGGAAGTGGGATCGGGTACGTGTCAAATTGAAGGGCTTGGTATAGATGGGAGGGGGGACCCCACGCCCATTTTTTAAATTATTTCTTTTAATTGCCGGCACTTTCCGGCTGAAACATTAACACATGGTTGTCACTATTAAAATACCGCATGACTTGATAAAATAACTCATGCAGTAATTTAGTAGCGTTTACTTTTTTCTGACCTCCGGAACGGATTAATTGGTTTTCAATGCATTCCTATGGGAAACAGAGTTTTGGTTTACAAATTTTTTGCTATACAAAAAGTCCTGAAGAACGAATTAAATTCGTAAAGTGAGGTATTACTGTATTCTTTAACTAAACCCTTGCCCCCTGGTTGATCAATGTTGTATTGCAAATCCCAGTAACCAATCAGAACTCAGTATTTCATTGCTTTGTTCAGACAACAATACTGAGAACTGATCTGTGATTGGTAATCGTACATTACATGATAACTAAACAACACTGTATATAGTTGGGGTGCTGACATTACCTGTTGGTGGGCCTCATCTCGTTGGGTAGATGAGGCCTTCAGGTCTTTATGAAGCTGTTGTATTCTGACATGTCTCTGCTCCAGCTCCTCTTGTCTCTCCTTTAGATCTCTCTGCAGTCTGTACAGTTGCTGTTCCTGAGCATCAAGCTGCAAAATAGAAGGAGAAGAGCAGTGAGGAGACTGCCGTAGAATCAGGACGATGAGCAGAGAGAAGTTAGGAACCTTCATACCTCGGAGGAGAGGACATCTCTGGTGTTCTGTAGAGTAAGCAGTTCACTCTGAGCTTCCTTCAGCTCCGTGTTTTGACGATCCAACTAATGGAAGAGAAAAGAGAGCTGGTTAATATCAGTAAATACTGTGATTAAATGCATTTGTTTGAATCCTTGGCCAGGTGAAATGGTTCCTATACCTTATATTTGTACTATAGATCAAGTTTTTTTTTTTTTTTTAAGTCCACGAAGGTGTGAAAAAAAACGAAAAACCCGTAAGTGAACAAGTGCTTTACCCTTACCAGACAGGGACCAAGGTTTCCACATGTTCCACCTGGCCAAAAGGCCTGGCGGATCCCTTTCCTTGTGGCTAAGCCGACCAAGTACTAGGTCCACCAAGTACTAGGTCAGGGGGCCCTCCCGAAGAGAGACACCCCCCCCAGGAACAGGAAGGAACCAAAAGGCCCCTAGACTCCAGGGTGTACCACCAAGTACTAGGCCAGGGGGCTCTCCCGAAGAGAGACACCCCCCCAGGAACAGGAAGGAACCAAAAGGCCCCTAGACTTCAGGGTGTACCACCAAGTACTAGGCCAGGGGGCTCTCCTGAAGAGAGACACCCCCACCCCCTCAGGAACAGGAAGGAACCAAAAGGCCCCTAGACTTCAGGGTAGGCTTGAGGACCCACACCCTACCATCCGTGAGAAAAAAAACACATAAATGAAAGTCACATAAAATGTGGAAAAAAAATAAAAAGAAATAAATAAAAAAGTGGCCGTGCAATTGTGCACTGGATAGGCCCTGAGGCCCGTAGCATAAAAATTGCCCTGGACTTAGCCAAAAGGCCGGGCCCTAAAAGGAGCAGTGCAGGAAAAGTGTTTGGATCAGTGACCATGTGCACGTTTCACACTTGAGATCTCACCCCCAAGTGTTACTAGGAGCACCCCTGAGGCGACCACTCAGGGGGCACTGTTCGGCAAACTCTCTGCCTCCCTGGCCAGACAATGTAGATCCATTCGAATCAGGAGGAACTGGGCTCCTCTGGTTTTCTTGGGGGAATTACTCTCGGTCCCCAACTGCCTGTGGCCACCACGGTTTCTGTTCCAGCCGGTACTATCATACCCATCATACCAGCAGAGGTAACTATACAGCCAACCATCCTCGTCAAGAGGCAAGAATGATGGCGGAGCACCTACTGGACACTGAAAAGAACAGATACTACACTTGATCTTAGACAAAAGGTCGAGAAGCGATAGCCAGTTGGCAATGCACAAGCTCACTCAGCCAAAATTCTATTGCAAAGGACTATTCCCTCTAATTTACATATACCTTTCTGTTTTGGTGCACATTAGGGAGAGTGTTTTTGATCCTATTGTAAAAGAACCATGGTCCTGCTAATTTGCATATTCCTTTCAATCTTGGTGAATATTAGGGAGAGTGTTTTCATCCTTTTGTTACCTATGACCAAGACCAGGCACAAGCACACTGACCTTTGCCAAAACACACTTTTTGTTTTGTTTTTTTCCACGTCGATATTTCATACTCCTTTTGTGTTGTTGCACAGAAAAAAATGTGGAAACCTCAGTCCCTGTCAGGAGCCTCGTGCCCTGAAGGGATCAGGGTAGAGGTCCTACCCCTTTGCAGGGCGGATTAAAGGAAGGTTGATTGGTGGATTAAAGCACACCCCTAAGTGCACTTTTTTCTGTTAGTGTTTTGGACTTGCACGCTTTTTGTTCACTTACACGTTTTTCGTTTTTTTGCACCTACTTGGGTTAACTCTGGCAGCAGACTAAGGCCATACATGGGTCGAAATTCGACCGATTTTTCATCCGAAAATCGGACCTAAGAATAATTGGCCGATTTTCACTCTGTTAGTGGGTCAATGGCACCAGCCGATTTTCGTAGTTCCTCCCCTTTTCGGTGATCGAGCATGTTGGAAAATTCTTGAAAAACGACCGATTTTCGACTCAATGATGGTCAAATCATACAATCATTTTTCCGAAAAGAATATGCGCATGAGCCGTGACCTAGAAGGAACATTAGTTTCACCTGTTATATGGGGTGAACTTTATAACTTGGTCAGCCGATTTTCAAAATCATTGATGGTGCCATCGGATTACCGAGCGAATGACGTTTCCGATTTTCCGACGAAAAATAGTTTGGAATTGCATAAGTCAGGGTAGACTCTTGCCACAAGAAATCGGCCAGAAAGTGTGGATCAGTTTGTAAATCTTGCTGCAGGATGGGCTATCAGGAGGCACTGCCACTTTGTCCTAAATGGACAGGGGGGTAGTATGTCTTCATGGGTTTAGTATTTTTTTTGTTCAAATTAAGATTGGAGAGTTAGATTATTGTATGTTTGTCACGAGTCACCTTTCATAAATCCTTTATACACACACCTCATTTTTCAGAAATTCATTACTTTTGGATATATTGTGGCATGTTTATCTGCAGAAGGGGTTTCTGGAGGGTTGTTAGCAACCTGGCAAAAGAAAAAAAAAAAAAAAAAAAAAGAAAAGTGAATATAAATATGAGTGTCTTAGATAACCTTTGTCAACCAGTTGAAAAAAAAAAAAAAATTATATATAATATAAATACACATAATAAAAATACACATATAAATATATATATACGTGTGTGTGTGTATTTGCTCCTTTCCAAATTTTCTTTGGCATATTCGTCACACTTTTTTGATTCAGATCATCCAACAAATTTTAATATCAAACACAGATAGCCCGAGTAAATACAAAATCCTGTTTTTAAATCATGATTTAATTTATTAAGGGAAAATGCTGTCCAAACCTGCCTGGCCCTATGTGAAAAAGTAATTGCCCCCCTTGCTAAATCATGAATGAACTGTGATTAACCATATTTTTGGGAGAGCCGAGTTAAATTTCACTTGCTGCACCCAGGCCTGATTACTGACAGACCTGTTGAATCGGGAAATCACTTAAATAGAGCTATCTGACAAAGTGAGGCACGCTAAAAGATCTCAAAAAGCAACATCATTCTTGAAAAATTCAAGAACAGAAGAGAAACAAATGAATTCACATGTACAGTTGTGGCCAAAATTATTCAACCCCCACTGAAATTGAGTGTTTTGGCCAGTTTGACATTGCTTTTGATCATTCAGTCATCTTGCTTACATTTACATTAAAGAGGCACTTGTAGGTCAGACAAATATAACATAACAGTTATAATGAAATAACCACAAATGTCTTTTTTTCTGTGCTCACAGCATTATCAGTTTTATTCAACCCCCAAGTGACATTCAATCTTAGTACTTAGTACAGCATCCTTTTACAGTTATAACAGCTTTTAAACGTGAAGCATAGCTTGACACAAGTGTCTTGCAGCGATCTACGGGTATCTTCGCCCATTCTTCATGGGCAAAGGCCTCCAGTTCAGTCACATTCTTAGGCTTGCGCACTGCAACTGCTTTCTTTAAGTCCCACCAGAGGTTCTCAATCGGATTTAAGTCTGGTGTGACTGCGATGGCCACTCCAAAATGTTCCAGCCTTTCCTCTGCAACCATGCTCTAGTGGACTTGGAGGTATGCTTGGGATCATTGTCCTGTTGAAAGGTCCAACGTCTCCCAAGCCTCAGGTGTGTGACGGACTGCATCACGTTTCCATCCAATATCTCCTGGTACTGAAGAGAATTCATGGTACCTTGCACACGCTGAAGCTTCCCTGTACCTGCAGAAGCAAAACAGCCCCAAAGCATGATTGACCCTCCACCATGCTTCACAGTAGGCAAGGTGTTCTTTTCATCATAGGCCTTGTTCTTCCTCCTCCAAACATAGCGTTGATCCATGGGCCCAAACAGTTCTAATTTTGTTTCATCAGTCCACAGAACACTATCCCACAACTTTTGTGGTTTGTCCACATGGCTTTTGGCATACTGCAGTCGACTCTTCTTATTCTTTGGAGACAGCAAGGGGGTACGCCTGGGAGTTCTGGCACGGAGGCCTTCATTACGCAGTGTGCGTCTTATTGTCTGGGCTGAAACTTCTGTACCCACATCTGACAAATCTTTTCTCAGTTCCTCAGCAGTCACACGGGGACTTCTCTCCACTCTACGCTTCAGGTAGCGCACAGCAGTCGAAGTCAGCATCTTCTTTCTGCCACGACCAGGTAGCGTTTCAACAGTGCCCTTTGCC